GTTGAAGTTGGACGCTCAACCGACTGAGCCACCCAGGCACCCCCGAATGCATTGTCAAATAAAACACATGTTACTTGAAGACATGCATATATTGGAGTAGATTTTTGAGCTCTCATGTCAGACTTAAAACATTCTTCAAATATTTAAATGAAAATCTATGGCCAAAAAAGTTCATAAATCAGAGATTATAAATTAAAACCTCTACCTTTTAAAGTAAAGTTTTTGGTTTTTCAAAGTGTGTGTTCCTTTTTAATGTCTCAGTCTTGCTTTTTTGTTTTGTTTCATTTTTAAAACTTGTTTATTTATTAAGAGAGAGCAGGAGCATGGGTGGAGCAGAGAGAGACGGAAAGAGAATCCCAAGCAGGCTCCACACTGTCAGCGAGAAGCCAGATAAGGGCTCCATCTCATGAAATGTGAGATCTTGACCTGAGCTGTAATCAAGAGTCAGATTCTTAACCGACTGAGCCCCCCAGGTGCCCCTCAATCTTGCTTCCAAATCACTTTCTTTGACTGCTACTAATCTGCATTGAAGAACAAAAGACCAACCGTTTACAGATTTCTGCCTTTTCAAGTGATCATTCGAGAAAGATCAACACAGATATCCAGACTAAAATATTTTTTTCTTTAATTCTTTTCTTCATTTACACAGTTTCAAATTTGAGTCCTATTGTTGTAGAGGGACCAAATTGAAAGAGATTGTACTACAGCAATATTATTATTCACCATAGCAACTTTCATAGGGCAACCCCGAAATTTTCCAATTTTTTGAAATTTTCCAGTTTTATTCCAATTTTCCAATTTTCCAATTAATTTCCAATTAGTTTTCCAAATAATTGAAAAGAAGAAGATACGCTCAGAAAGTGAAAGTGTAGCAACAGAAAATGAGATCAGTTTATCAGTGGTGTAAAATGTTAAGTTATAATTTTATATAGTGTTCAGGTTGTGTGTATTGTTTCAGCATGTTTGAGAAATGTTTTAGAAATTTTGTTTTTGCAAATTTATAGAAAAAGCAGTGTCTGTTTTGCTAAAATCTTAGGACTTCATAAAACAAGTTAAAGGTCAACTTGATTCTCTGGATAAAAAAGTTTTTATATTGATAAAAGTTTGTTGATAAAAAAAATTTTAAGAGGGAGGCACCTGGGTGGCTCGGTCAGTTGTGTCTGACTCTGGATTTCAACTCAGATCATCATCTCACGGTTTGCGAGTTCAAATCCCACGTTAGGCTCCGTGCTGACCGTGTGAAGCCTACTTTTGATTCTCTTTCTCTCTTTCTGCTCCTCCCCTGATATCTCTTTCTCCCTCTCTCTCTCTCAAAGTAAATAAACCTAAGAAAATTAAATAAAAATAAAAAGCTTTAAGGATTTTTAAGGAAGAATTATATCAATTGATATATGATAAATTTATGCAGAGTGTTATTTAAAGAATTGATCATCTTTATAATTATGGAGAAGAATTGGGTTCTTACCAATTTTCTAAAGACTGTTGATTGTATATAATACTTTACCTACTTTAGTACTCCTCTAGGATCTATATAAAGCTTACTTTAAAAGATTGGTTTGTGAGTGTGATATTCTGCTAACCAGTATGGGTCATCGTCTATGTTTTAAAGTTAAAAATCTGTTCATGATTTAGGGGCTACCTCGTAACAATGGCAAGTAAAAACCCACTGTGCAAATTTGCTTACTTAGAGTAGTATGTAGCCAATGATAAATCCAATAAATGCAGCAAATGCTTTATAATACATGTTTGCTGTCTTCTCATACTTCAGCTTTTCATTATCCATTATTTTGTGCAGTTTTTCATTTCCTTCTATTGTTTTATCTCTGCATGTTTCCCCCACAACAAAGAGGCAAAAGTAATTTCTAGCCAGGACTTTCATTCTAGAATAAATTTGATTGATTTTCTTCAAAAAAAAAAAAAAAAAAAAAAAACCACTAAGGTTCATTCTTTCTTTTTTTTAAATTTATTTATTTATTTTGAGAGAGAGAAGTATGTGTGGGGGGAGCTCACATAAGTGGGATAGGTGCAGAGACAGAAAAGAGAGAAAGAGAACCCTAAGAAGGCTCTCTGTGCAGAGCCCTACATGACGCTCAATCTCTGGAACTGTGAGATCATGACCTGAGCTAAAATCAAGAGGCAAGATGTGTAATGGACTTAGCCACCCAGGTGCCCATAGGCTTCATTCATTCTTAAAGAAATACTTTTTTGGCATCTGTTTATTCAACCCATATTGTTTTTCGTGAGGAAAATGGACAGAGCTCTTTGTCCTTGGTGCTTACATTCTGGCATGTGACGGGGAAAATGGCATTGAATTAGAAGATGCTAGTGCACTGGGGAAGAAAAGCAAAATATTGTGAGTGTGGGAGATTGAGATGTGGGTTGCCATTTTGAATAAGATCAGTCCTCCTCGAGAAGGTGACATTTGAACAAAGACATAGAGGTGAACAAGTTGACCTTGTAGATATTTAGAGAAGAAAGCTCCAGGCAGAGTTAATAGGCCATGCAAAGGTTCTAACATATGACAAGCTGAGTGTTCTAGAAACAACGGGAAAGCTGGCATGGTTGGGCCAAGAGAGAAGCGGTAGGTGAGAGCCAAGGGGCCCTGTGGCAATGGATGCAGCAGAAAATAAAGCAATGGCTGAGAATGAGTAAATGACAATATTTAGAGCTTTTGCCCTAAATGCCCCCTAGTAGACACAGAATGTTTGAGCAGAGAAATGATGTGATCTGACTTATCTTTTAAAAGGACCTTGCTGGATGCTGTGTTGTGGATTAATTGTAGAGGAGCAGAGTTAGAAGTTAATGTAATAATCAGGCAAGGGGTGATGGTGACTGACTCCAGGCTGATAGCAGCTGGTCAAATTTTGGGTGTATTTTGGAGGTAGAATCATAAAGATTTGCTCGCAAAATAGATGTGGGTATGAGAGAAAACGATGAGTCAAGGATGGACTCGAAGGCTCTCTGTCACCTTGTGTTTAGAGCAAATTATCTCTGTCCATATCCAGAAGTGTGCCTCATGGAAGGAATGAAGACCCAGCCCAAAGCACAGGTAACAGTTTTCCACTAAAAAGTGGGTAAAAAAAGTCAATGTAATGGATCATGACCACTGTTTTTTATTAAAGTAGGTAAATTAGAATTAAAAAGGGATGGAGTAGAATATATCAGCATGCACTGGTCATTCAGTAAATATATTCTGCTGAACACTTCCAGGCATTTGGAATACAGCAGTGAAACAAAACCAACAATACCCCAGTCCTCCTGGTGCCTTCCTTTTAATATATGTGTGTTGAGTCCTGATGTTACATATATTTCTTACTGAGTTGCTGTCAAAAATGTTTTAGAGCCAGAGACCTAAGTAGAAACGAGAGACAAAAGAGAACCCTCCAGCATTTTGAGAAGAAGCCAGAAAAGGAAGGAACATGAGGGTGAAGAAAAAATAGTAATGA